CTTTTCAGGTTGACTGTAATGGAAAGTTTGAGCTCTGGTTGTTCTTTTTCCATCGCCGTTACTACTCCATATGCTGTAGGAAAGTGGTCGGTCTGCATGATCTTGAATTTTGGAAGATGTGCAGAGGCTGGCGATGTCTGGTGTGAGACTGGTGGTGTCCTCCCCTGTCTCATACTGCTGTCCTGCGGCTGGGCTGTGGAGAGAGGAACAATGGCTGACACTGGCTGGCGTGAAACTGGTGGTGTCCTCTCCAGACTCACACTGCCGTCCTGCGGCTGTGTTGTGGACAGAGAAGCATTGACTGACACTGGCTGGTGTGTGACTGACGCCGACCCCTCTAGGTCCATTACGACTGCTGACTTGCTGGTAGAAGCAAGTGGTAAAGCCTTGATAGCAGTTTTCTTTGGTGCCTGCTGCACATCGGTCCACCGTCCCTCCTCGTCCGAAAGCTGCTTCCATTCCCTCTTGCGCTGAGCCTTCCCCATGGCTCTCTTCACGTAGTGAGAACCGACTCAAACTACCGGAGCGAGCAGGCGACACGTCCTCACTGCACGGTAGCTCAGGAGCAACTCCCTTCACCGATTGCTTTGCAATTTTGACACAACGTTGCATTCGAATAGGCGTGTCGTTTTATATACCTACTATATAGATGCCACACCTGTGACAGGTAAAAACATGCGTTTTTGAAAAACAGTGCCATATGTTGCACATAATGGAACATGCACGCTATACTAAACATGTCATGAATTCCTTTTCAATGTTTCCGATTGCATTGATAAATTTTATTTTCATATATTTCGATTTATTTAATTTTTATTGAATTATTTTGTGTGACATTGTGTTGGAATCGAGCTGTGTGGTTTACCATACCGTTCTTTTCGTAAGTAAAGGTATTGATCCCACACCTGTGATCGGTGAAACTATGCTTTTCTTGACAAACAGCGCCACCTGTAGCCTGTAAGAGCAACACACATGCTATACTAAATATGTTAAATTCCATTTCAATATTTCTGATTGCATTGATAAATTGAATTTTAATAGATTTTGAGTTATTTTCATTTTGATTTATTTTCATTTTGATTTATTTTCATTTTGATTTAATTATTTTGTGTGAATTATGTTGAAATTGAACTGTGTTGTTTACCATACGGTTCATTTCGTAAGTATAGTTAATTTTTTATTTTTTAATCTCTATAAATAAAAATGGAAATGTTCGTCTGTTCAAAATCGTTAGTCTCCAAAAGTTTTACACCGATTGCTTTGACATTTTCACACAATGTTCCATTTGCATCCGGCCAGGTTTTTATATACAAACTATATAAACATCACGTCTGTGATGGTAAAAAAACATGCTTTTTCTGAAACTGTTTTTTTCATGTGAGGGAAATCTTCGAAACCTCTTTACCAATTGCTTTGAAATTTTGACACAATGTTGCATTCGAAGAGGCGCGTATTTTTATATAACTACTATATACATGCCTCACCTATGTCAGGAAAAAACATGCTTTTTTTTAAACAGTGCCATCTTTTGGACGTAAGAGCAACACATGCTGTAATCTCCGGAAGTTCTTCACCGATTACTTTTGAAATTCTGACACAACGTTGCATTCGAATAGGCGACTCTCTTTATATAACTACTATATAGATGTCACACCTGTGACAGGTAAAAACATGCGTTTTTGAAAAACAGCGCCATCTGTTGCACATAATGGCAACATGCACGCTATACTAAACATGTCATGAATTCCTTTTCAATGTTTCCGATTGCATTGATAAATTTTATTTCCATAGAATTCGAATCACTTTATTTTTTATTTAATTATTTTGTTTGATACTGTGTTGGAACTGAGCTGTGTGGTTTACCATACCGTTCATGTTGTAAGTATAAGTATAGATCCCACACCTGTGACAGGTTAAACTATTCTTTTCTTGACAAACAGCACCATCTGTTGCCTGTAAGAGCAACACACATGCTATAATAAATATTTAACAATTCCATTTCAATGTTTCTGACTGCATTGATAAATTGAATTTTCATAGATTTTGATTTATTTTCATTTTGATTCAATTATTTTGTGTGAATTGCGTTGGAATTGAGCTGTGTTGTTTACCATACCGTTCATTTCGTCAGTTTTTTTCCTTTTTGTTTTTTTTAATATTTTCATACAATTTTTTAACTGTTTTTCTTATATTTCAGTAATGGGAACATCAGACACTTGATGTTCCCAATTTTCTGAAGTGAACATCATACCATTTGGGAAGGCATCGGGCGAGGGATTGGGGAATGGTGGGGATGATGAGGGGCCGGAAGTGAGAGATTGTGGGGAGGACGAGGGGACAAGGGAGGGGCTAATGGTGGGGAAGGTCGAAGGGAAGGGGGAGTTTGGGATGGTGGGGACGAGGGGTTGGGGGAATGAGGAATGGTGGGGAGGACTAAGGGACAGGGGGAGTGGGACAAAGTGGGAAGGAAACGGGGATGGTGGAGTTGGGAATGGTTGGGAGGCCGAGGAGACGGGTGAGGAGAGAATGGTGGGGAGGACTGGGGGACAAGGATGGTTGCTGTGGCTCAGCAACGCACATGCTTTGCTGAGCCACAGCAACGCGTGGCCGGTTACTGCAAGTAATATATACAATTTAAGCTCGTCCAAAGAACAGCCGTTTCTTCTTTTTCTTCTTCAGGTAGGAATAATTTCACAAACATCTACCTAGCCTGAAAGTCTCCAAGCTCCAAGGTTACATCTATGATTTTGAAGTGTATGCAGGAATTGGGAAGACAACAATTCAAACGGCTATGGGCTTGATTGAACCACTGAGGAACAAAGGTTACCATTTATATATGGATAACTACTATAACTCAGGTTAACTGAGTCAAAAGCTGCGTGAACAAGGTGATATGCCTGTGGTACTGTCAGATTGCAGCATGGTGCACCAGAAGATCTTCAGCTACAAGAAAGGGCAAATTGCCAGTAGATAAAACTGTATTCCAATGGAAGGACAATTCTTTTATAATTTTGTGGAAAGATAAGCGAGTTGTCTCACTTATCACAACTTACCACAATGCAGATACACAAGAAGTGGAAAAAGGAAACGAGTACGCAAACCTCACGGAACAACTTCATTGCAACAAGTACCTGTGAACAAATCAAATGCAATATGTGACTACAATAGCCACATGAAAGGTGTTGATCACTTCGACCAAATGGTCAAATATTATTATTTCACATGTATATGTCACAAGTGACCGAAGAAATCCCCCTTCTACTTTCTGCAAATGGCTATCTATAATGGTTTTGTGTTATACAAGTACTACACAACTGATACAAAGAAACTCTCTTGCTCCATTTCTTTGAAGTAATCATTTGGTCACTACTCAAGTTTGAGTATAATAATTGGCCTCTCCAAAATGACAACATCATACATGCTGGTGATGTACATGACGATGAGAGCAGATCTACTGGCGACAATGTTGTAACACCCGGACCTTCAGGTGTGAGGCGCCACTATTCCCTTCTTCACCTCGAGATGAAAATTCATCATCTGACTCAGAAGACGAGTCAGATTACTCCTTGGGGTGCTGCTGCTAGGAGAAATCTTCGTATTGTGGATAAACCCCGAACGTCTGAACTGGAACTTGAACCATTCCCTAATTCGCATCGAAAAAGGTCTGAAGTGTCGTGTCAGGTACAAGTCTGGTAAAAGGAAGGACACCAGGTACAAGTACAAGTCGTGCGGTGTGGCATTGTATTCACCTAGTTATGCTTGCGGGGGGGGGGGGGGTGAGCTCTGTTCTTTCGGTCCGCCTCTCAACTGTCAGACAACTGTTACTAATGCAGACGATAAGTCACAATAACGTGGCTGAAAATTGTTGACCAAACCACACACTAGAAAGTAAAGAGACGACGACGTTTCGGTCCGTCCTCGACCATTGTCGACTTGATACTGGTCCAGGATGGACCGAAACTTGATCGTCTCTTCAGTTTCTAGTGTGTGGTTTGGTCAACAACTGTTACTAACTACTAACTAACTTTTTTCACACGCATGCACACACACCCAGGAAGCTGCCTAACTCCAAAGTACCTATTTACTGCTAGGTAACAGGAGCATTACGGTGAAAGAAACTCTGCCCATCTGTTTCCGCCGGCACTGGGAATCGAATCCCTCCCCACAGGACAATGTTTCCAGCATGCTGTCCAATCAGCCACCAGCGCCTCTGTGTGCTACATCATTCTCGAGTTTGTACCACCGAAAGAGGATAAACTGGGTACTCACCTAGTTGTGCTTGCGGTTGTTGAGCTTTGGCTCTATGGTCCCGCCTCTCAACCGTCATCTACTTGTGTACAGATTCCTAAGCTTCTTAAGCTCCATCATATCTATATTTGAAACTGTGTTTGGAGTCAGCCTCTACCACATCACTTCCTGGTACAACACTTATGTGAAGGATGCAACACAAAAACTACTGTGAAAAAACGACTATTGTGAAACAAATAATGTCGGGAATGAATAACAAATGTAAAAATATTGACAAAAAGCTGTTTTTTCACAGGAAGATATACTTTATCTTATGGTATTGTTAATGTTGTTCTTCAATTTGCCCTTATATGCATATATCCCTTTAGGGAATTCTATTGCGAAAAATTGGATATCACCAAAATTGATGTTTTCAAACGGAAAAGAGTATACACATTTGAGGGAGGGTGTGCCAAGGGATGCTTGCTCACTGGTAACGCTCGGCCGATTTTCGGGTTTGTTGTAGAGGGCGCACCGGGCCTATTAACCTTATAGCATATATCCCTTTATGAAATTTATTGCGAACAATTTGATACCAAAATGAACGCCGTAGTACGAGAAATGAGTCGAGAAATCCTAAAAAAGTATACACATTTTAGTGTGGGTCCGTGCTCACGAAAGCGCTCAGCCCACCTTGGAGTGAGTGGACTGGGGCACGCACAGCAGGCCACTCAAAGTGTTAAAATATACATTATTCTAACTGTACTTTGCAG